TTGAAGGGTTGTTGTTGTAACAAAGTTCACCAGAAAGATGAAAAATACATGTGACCCCTTTTAGGCCTTAGACATCAGTTGTGTTCAAATTAGGCTCACAGAGCAAAAAAAAAAAAAAAAAAAGTAAAAAGAACCAAAAAGGCAACAATAACAACAACAAGTTAAGAACCACTCACTGTTTTTGAGAGTAATTAAAGTCTCTCTGAGGATAGACTTACAATTTGAGTAGCTTTCATCAGATGACAATAGGCCTTGTTTGACTACAGTTAGGATGAATGTATTCTTTCAGTAGGGATAACTGAAGGGTTCAGAGTTCAAAATCTTTTAAAAAGACTATCTCTTTTTAAAAGAGATTTATTTTTATTATTATATTTATTGAAAAATATACACCAAACAGCTCCAAATTTATTAGGAAGTATACTTTTTCCAATGGTGACCATTATAACCCTTGTCTAAGCTAGTAGATAGTCTTCCAGAGTTGTTGTGATCAAAAATAGTCATCACTGCATCTGATCTGGTTGTGAGTCTCCCTATGTTGTTGTTTCTTGGACAAGAGTTATGTTCTAATCATTGAGCTTATACTCAAAGGCAGAACTTGAACTCTATATCACAGTTCTTAGAGAACCCAGAGTCATCCTGCATATCAGTATTAACATCAAAGTAGTTCTTAAATGGATATAAAACATATGGTATAAGTATTGACAAAGGATGAAGAAATCCAGAAATCTTTAAGGGAATAACATTTAAAGGAGCTGAACTTTAGGCACAGATTATGATCAATGAATCAACAAATACTTATTGAGCACCTACTATTTATGTAGGACGTTGTGTTAAGGCTGTATGGCCACCCTGTTCCTAGTTGCAGTTTAATTTAAGCAACCATCTGGTTTCTTTCCAGACGCTGTTGTTGTCTTACATTGTCTCCTGCCCTCGAGGCCAGGGTCAGAGATCTCCGGAGTCATACATGCTCTTTCCATGTATTCAAGGCTTAAAGTTCACTCATATGTGTCGCTTCTGTTAACAAAAGAAACCATTGGCTACTGCCAACCTGAAACAGTCTCTTATTTACTTGATTCACTTGGTGTTGTGGCAGGGTACAGAGCAAGTTTTTGTTGTTTTTTTTTCATTTGGCAGCCTGGCAAAGCCTTTCTCAAAGTCACATTTTAAAATGCATTCAATAAAATGCATAAAATTACAATCAAAATCAATTCTATTTAAATATTTATCAAACTGCCACCAAAAAAAAAAAGTTCACATACCCCAGAATAAGAACCTAGGAAGGAGTTTGGGCTTTAGAATTAGAAGATCTGCTTTTAGTTCTGGCTCTAGCACCAACTTGGATCACATCAAATCTCTGGGCCTCCCCCACTTTTCTTACCTGTAAAATAAAGGGTTAGACTAAAGGCTCTAAAATCACTCCAATTCTAAATCCTATGGTTGTTCTTTTCTGCTCTAACCTTCTCATTCTCCCCCTGTGAGAGAATCCAGACCCTGGATTGTAACTCCCAACTCCTTTCCGAAAGCACAATGAATCCACATTTTATGACATTTCCCCACCCCTTCTTTCCTCTTGTCCAAGCATCTCTTTCCAGAAGCAAGTTCCTTCTCCTTCTCTTTTTTCTTCTTTTCTGTCCAACACAAGCCTGAGAGTTACTATAGGGCCAACAGCTTCTAGGTATTAAACCATGTAACTTACACACAAACTTACACATCACCCGTAGGTGATGGATGTGTCAGATCACTTCTTACAGAGAGAGAAAGTGAATCCCAAAGGGGGCTCATAGTTATCTTGTTGCTGTTCAATTATTTTTTTTCAGGAGTGTCTGACTCTTCATGACCCCATTTGGGGTTTTCTTGGCAAAAATACTCCAGCGGTTTGTCGTTGCCTTCTCCAGCTCATTTTACAGATGAGCAAACTAAGGCAAAAAGTGTTAAGTGACTTGTCCAGGGTCACACAGCTAATAAGTGTCTGAGGCCAGATTTGAATTCAGAAAGATAAGTCTTCCTGACTCCAGGCCTGGTATTCTATCCGCTATACCACCTAGCTGCCTCATAGTCATACAGCACGCTAATACATACACATTTTTAAGTACCTACTAGGTACAAAGCATTGGTTCGCAGTGAGATGCTAAGAGTTGCAGAGGGTTACAAAAGAATTATTCTAGTTTTAAACCCAATTCAGAGAGGGAAAGAAGACACATGTAAACTGTTAATAATCATTCATTCATCATAATTCATGCAGAAAAAGGGATATAAAAGACGGTAAGTGATGGATCTGATTTGGATAGGTGGGGAGAAAGTAGGAATAAATGTTCTAAATGAAAGGAATATCATGAATACAGGTATATGTAGCAGAAATTATTGTGGCATGGGTGGGGGCAATGAGTAGATCTTCCCAACTGAGATAGGTGGTATATGTTGGGACAGTAGTGTGTATATATATTGGAGAGGTAGAGTGACATTATAGAGGGTCCAGGTAGTGGATCTGAACCTTGCCCTTTAGATAACAGGGAGTTGCTAGACATTTTCAAGCAGGCAATTTTCAGGAAGAAAGAGGGTTTTAAGAGTCAAGTTATAAGAGAGCACGTATAGAGAAAGCAGAGCAGAAATCTCAGGTGGGAGCCTTGGGAGTCACCCATAATTGTATGTTGGGAAGAAAAATGAAAGGAACCAGGAAAGGAAAAAGAGAAGGACAAAATCTAGGACAAAAATATAGAAGCTAAAGGATGAGAAAATGTCAAGGAAGAGATGGTCCAGAATGACTGAAGAAAAAAAAAATAAGGAAAATAAGACTGAGGAAGATGTAATGCTGAGAAATTGGTCCAAATCTTGCCTTAGAAACATCATACCTCTGTAACCATAGGCAAATCATTTAAACTCTCAGAGTCTTTTTACTCATTTATAAAATGGGGATCATTATACCTGTACTACCTTCCTTATAGAGTAATTGAAAGGAAATTTCCTTAACAAACCTTAAAAGTGCTACATAACTATATGAATTCTTGCTTTGTGACTGGAATCAGTAGAGGGAGTGCCTACCCTACTTCTGAAGGCAAAGGATATCAAAGAAAGCAAGACTGGAAGGGAAGAGATGTGGGGATTCAGGAAAGTGAAGCAGGCTTAGAATAGCAGTTATGTGAAGGATGTTAGAGAACTTATTAGAAGTAAGTGCTGGCCAGCCATAAAGACCTAGATAAATTTGGGCTATGTCAATTGATAGTGGCCAGGTGTCCATGGTTTTCTGCTTATTCTCCAGTAATGTGACATAACCCAGATAAAAGAATAATGGAAAATGATGGGGGAAGGGTGGGGTTGAAACAAGCCCTGACTTTGGATTGGCAGAGCAGGCACAGTGTAAAGGTAAGGGAAAAAAACACCCTTGAGTTGATTATGAATGGCATATTGAAGTATCTGACCATGAAATCGAATTAGTCAGGAAAGGGCTAATGAACTGACTGAAATTGATTTGAGGCTCCTTTGTTAGGGGGGAGGGAGAAGACTTGGTAGGTGGGAGAAGTGGGAGAAGAGACAGATTAAGAGGCTGTGGGCAGAGTGAGGGAACCCCAAGATACATACACATTACCACAAGTGAGAGGTATCATGGTGTAGTTGATAGAAAGCCTGCCTTAAAGATCAAGGTCCTGCCCCTGACACATTCTGACTGTGTGACTCTGAGCAGAGTCACTTAATGTCTCGGTGCCTAGGCAACTCTAAGCTGAAAAGGAGTTTCCTCACTAGGCAATTTCCTCTACCAGTTCCTATCTGTACCAGTGCTGATTCACTCATATACCCACAAGTAAAAGGCCTAAAACAAACACTCCAAAATTATCCCAAGAGAGTCACACACTGATGAAAAAAACACTACATTAAGACACAAGTATATACACACAGAGAGACACATAACTACAAGGACATGACGAAATATATATAAACATCGAGACACTGGCATGGTAATACCCTGACACAAGGAGATACACAGGCAGAGGGAGGAGACAAGGACAGACATAAATACTTCCACACAGACCCAGAGACAAACAGGGAAACAACAAGACAGGCAGAAATACAGGACACAAAATCAGACACAGGCATAAGGGAAGCAAAAATACTGACCTGCACATTGAGTAACAAAGAGAGACACAGAAATACACCTCGAGACACATATCAAGCAACCAACAAATGAGCGTTTATTAAGAATCTACGAATTGTCAGTACACCATGTAAAAAGGCAAAAAAAAAAAAAAGAGCCCCTTGCCTATCCTCAAGGAGCTTACATTCTATCCGTTCCATCGGGGTAACAATGTGTACATATAGAAGAATTTCCAGAGTATATGCAAAGTAATCCAAGGTAACTGAGAGAGTAGAGAGACACACAAAAATCTATAGGAAAAGACACTAGGTGTCAAAGCCAAAACTGCTCCATAGAGAAGTACAATCCAAGGCATAGTCTTAGCATGGAAAGGAAGACAGATAAAAGCAGAAGGCTAACAACCGGATATGGAAAGACATAGATACTAAGAAGCTCTGAGCAAAAGAAACAATATGAATATATATACATACATATATACATACCGAAATACATATACACATATGTGTGTATTTATGTGCGCACACAAACACACACACACACACACACAACCCAAAGCCCAAAGGCAAAGAGACTCTCACCCATCCAGACACGGAGACAGATCGACCCAAAAGCTGGGAGAGGGAAACAAATAGAAGCATAAAAGAACAATCTCAGCGCAGGGAGAACGTACAGGTAAACGCAGACTGCCATAAAGGCACAGAGAACATACAGATTCGGAGAATGAGAAAGATACCCAGAGAAAGAGAAGATACCCAGAGACAGATAAACCCAGCTCTGTCCTCCTACTCCTCCCCCCTCTTCAGCGTCCTCTCCCGGCCCCACCTCGGCGTCACTCCAAGCTCGGTCCTCGTTGCCCCGGCCCCCTCACCCCCACCCCTCAGTCCTGTCTTTCCTTGGCGATCTTCTTTCCCAACTTGGTCCACGTTCTTCCCACTTCGCTGGCTTCATCTCCCTACTCAACCCTGCTCGCTCCCAGCCCCAACAGACATCTCCTTCTTTCACTCTCTCTCAGGACAGCCTGCCCCTCCCCTGGCTCCCCGGGCTCCTCTTGGGGCCCCAGTCACTTTCCAGGGCTGACGCCTGGCTCCTCTCACACCAATGAGGCCTCAGCATAGATGGGTCCCGTCCCACCCCCAGGAAGGTGTGTCCCGGGTTGCCTCACCTGAAACTTCCTAGGAGAATGAGATCCCTCCCGCTTTGGGAGGGGAGGGGCAGGCTAGGAGGGTGGGGCGGCTAGGGCCTGAGTCGGGGACTGCCGGCAGGAGCTGGGACCCCAGTGGAGATCTTTCTACCCAGACAGCCCGGACCATGTGACACTGACCAGGTGGGTGCCCTCCTCCTCTTGCCCTTGCCCCCAACTCAGGCTGAGCTCCAGTGGGGCTTGAGGGGGAAGTGGGGAGCGGTGGGGAAAGGAGGCCTTCCCAGCTGGGTCCCTGGGAGCAGACTCCGGAAATGGGGGGCTGGGCAGATAGGCAAAGAGTTTTAGGTGTTTGAGTGAGTCCCTTGGGGAAGGGAGAGGAGGAGGACGAAAGGAAATGCTCCGGTCCGAGAAAAGTGCTCCAGGGCTCCCAACTCAGAAATGCTGTCCCAACTCCGAGCTCTTAACTCTTGTGCAACCCCAGAGATCAGGGCTCCCACCTGGGCCGCAGAATCCCTTCTCTAGGGATCGAACTACCACAGTAAGGAATCCCTAAAGCACCCTGTCCCCAGAAATATTTACCTCTTTCCCGAATTAACCGCACTTGGGGCCTCCTTCCAAATACACACACCCCAAGATCCAAATATACATAGGAACACACACATACACAACACACCGTCTCAATAATAAGGATGCTTCATCTGGAAATGAGACCCCCCCCCCTTAGCCTCCTCTCCCCAAATCCAGGTTCTGGAAGTAAGCTCCTCCCAAAATGTACTTCCTCCAAAGCCTTATCTCCAGAAACATAACACAGTCTACTCAGTAGCCCACTTCCAAGAAGACACTTGCTGGGGTAATGAACCTGCCAAAAGTCCAGTACTCTGTCCACACTTGGCCTTGGATTTTCATTTCCAGACGCATAACTCCTCCTGTCTTCATGAAAGTGAACTCTGGCCAGGGTTAGGTTATCCTGTTGTCGCTGATAAATCGAGAGAAGGAAGAGGAGGAGGTGGTGGTGGTAGTGCGAGGAGGATTTTTATTCCTGGCTTCCTTCCTCCTTTTCTTCCCTGCGGTGCCTTCTTTTGCACTCTTAAGTAAGGCCTTATAGGAGGTCGGGATAGCTATTGTAGTACTCTCCTTAGATCATAAGATTATAAATTTAGAACTGGAAAGGACCTTTGAGTCGATGGAATCCAACCCCCTCATTTTACTGATGAAGAAACTGAGGCATAGAGAGGTTAAATAACTTGCCCAGAGTCTGATGGCTATTAAGTATCTGAGGCAAGAATTGAACCCAGTTTTTCCTGACTCCATGTACACTACTGTATCCATTAATCCGCACTGTACTTTTTCCAAACCCTTTCACTATTTTCCCCCTTCTTCTTCTGTACTAGCCTATATCCCAAACTTCCTGTTAACTCTGTACCTCAGATATGGAGGAACTTCTGGCCCAGGCCTTAACATGCAACAACTTAGTTAAATCATCTTGAGGGCTCCAAATAGAAATAATCCTTCCTTAAGCCCCGGGAAGTTGTGAGAGAGGATGCTTTGAGGGAGCAGTTCAGCATTGCAGGTATGAAGTGTGCATGAGGATAAAGAGAGGAATGTATATACACAATAGATTCTGGCACAGAATAGGAATAGATCAGGATATCCCCAAGATGGGGAAGGATTTGTATTATCAGTGTTTGTGTGTGGATAGGGCTGTGTCAGGATCTGACTGAGGACCAGGCAGGCTGGTTCAGCAGGATTCACCTTCAGGACTTGGACAATGTGGAAAATTCAGGTACATATAGGTGTGCAGATGCACATGATAGGTCATATATGTGAGATGTTGAGGGGTCTTGTCTCACATGGTGTCAATGGGGTAGATAGAAATTCCACATGTGGTATCTATTGGGTAGATAATGCCAGCAGTGTCATATAGAGTATTTCATGAGTAGCTAGGGAGCAGTAATATGCATGGTATATAAAATGTCTGTGAGATAAATCAACCAATCAATCAACATGCATTATTAAGAGATTAGTAACTTTATTCCAATCCCTGTGTAAGCATAAGAAATCAAAGGGGGAAAAAATCCCCTGTCCTAAAAAACCTTGCATTCTAAAGGAAAAGACAACATGTAAATAAATAGGCACATTTGGCACCCTAGTATTTAGGTAATGACCAATGTGACATATAAAGTAGGTATGGAATGGAATGAATAAGGACAGTTTTACGCTATTTCAGTGGTGTGGGTGGAGTGTTTTGCCAACTGGGTGTAAGAAGTAGATATGGCACGTATAATGTGGTATCTGTGGTTTGTATAAGGATTATCATTCTGTTTTCTCTGGGTACCGTGACCATCAATTAATCAATCAATCACCAACCATTTATAATTGGGGCATATAGCCGGACAGAGGGTATTCTTTTTTTTTGCAGTTGATAAAAGTACACCCTCTTTTCTTGTAAGTGGGTGTGGTTCCAGAAAATCTGGGTTATATGGTTATCGTCTTCCACTAGAGCCCTATTCTGAAGACTCTCATAAAGATATGGAAATCATTTGGGTTCTTAAAGACTATGCTAGCTAATCACAATTTCTGGAAAGTCCTGTCAAGTTGGGGAAAAGCATTCACTTACAAACTCCAAAACTGAAATCTTTTCAAGCACCATCTCCACTAAGGTCAAAGAGATTGATCATTAGAAGTCTGGCCATCAGGGGATTATCACACACACACACACGTAACTGCTAAGCTTTAGAGGATATATAATCTGTGTTTGTGGAGGGCATAACTGCCCTGGTAAAACAGGTCACCTGGTTGTCTGAAGTATGACCCCGCTGTCTCTGAGGCATATGGAGACTATATTAAGCACTATAGGGTCTAGATAAAAGCAGTGTTGCACATGGCACCCATAAGGGGGCTGGCTAATATATTTACCACCCTTGTTGTCTTTTGTATGAATTTCATATGTGGTATCTTTGGAAAGGTCACATCACATTGGTATCTTCACGGTAAGAGTTGTCATACATGATATAGAGTAAATAGGTACCCCATTACACATGATGTATTTGTGGTAGATGGAGGCATGTCAACACAAATGTCCATACACTAGATATAAGATAGCTGTTTATAAGGTCAATAGGTGACATGTCACCCATCATCTATTGGAAACAAACTTTTTTTTCTGTAATGTAGTGTTATTGGAGTGGATATACTCTATGTCAGGGCTTCTTAAGCTGGGGTCTACAAACCACCCCCCCAACCAAGGAGGTCCATGGATAGATTTCACAGGGGTGGAGGTGGGAGTAGGGAGGGGTAATTGGTAAACTTGGATGGGAAAAAATACATCATTATTTCAATATAATTGGTTTTGTTTATAACTATACATGCATATGTAATTATACATGTATACATATATGTGTGTATATATGTAGGTATAATTTTATGCATTTATAAACATTTGGAAAAAAGACCCATAGGCTTTCTAGACTGCCAAAGAGGTCCATGATGCAAAAAAGGCTGAGACCCAGTTTTGTGGCATCTGCAGGATAGTAGGAATCTAGTCACTTTCATTGGCTTCATGTGCTTATGGGCACAGTGTATATGGAGTGAATGATATCATATCATATATGGTAACTTCAAAGGTAGAGAGGTGTCCTGCTGTTCCAAGGGTCTTCAAGTACATGATGTGATTGCAGTTTTACCATACCAAGTACTTTTGGAATTATTGGAACAACTATCTGGGCTTTATAGAGACCACATCATAATATCTTTGGAAAAGGTAGGAAAAGAATCACTACAAGTGCCTTCAGATAGACAGCTTCCAGGGGGTATATAGAGACCATGTAAGAAAATTGGCTTTAGAGTCAGACTACTTGGATTTATATTGTACCTCTGACACTACCTTTGCAACCCTAGATAAGCTTCAGGACCTCAGTTTCCTAATATGTTAAATAAGATTGTTGGACTAGATGGCCTCAAAGGCCTCTTATAACTCTAAATCTCTGGTATTTATATATTAGAAACAGGTCTTTTTTCAGTTCTAATATCTTTTGAATGGATAGAACCTATATAACTCATAGAGTAAATGTATAATTGGACTGGATAAAAAGTAAGGGGCATATAGCATTTTCTGGTGCTTAGGGTTAGGACAAAATGGCATTACTAGAATGGATAGAGTCCACATAACACCCAGGGAACTGGATAACATTGATGTAGAACAGACGTCCATGGACTGAATAAGGACTCAATCCTACAGTGTCTTCAGGTGAATTCTGTTGTTTCATATAGCATCTATGGAGTGAATGGGGACTATGCCACACATGGTGTACCAGAGTGAATATATTTACAAAATCATATAATTTTCCAGTTGGAAGGGACCTTGACAGTCATCTAGTCCAATGTATAACAACAACAAAAAGTATGCCCAATAAAATTCTCTAGAATGGTGGTCATTCAGCTATTACTTTAAGCCCCTCCAATGAAGGAAAAACCATTATATCACTTTCTTTCCCTTTTTTTTTTATTTCACTCTCCCCCCCCCCTTTTTTTGTTTTGCTTTCTGGTGAGGCAGTCAGGGTTAAGTGACTTGCCCAGGGTCACACAAGCTAGTAACTAGTAAGTGTCAAGTATCTGAGGCCAGATTTGAACTCAGGTCCTCCTGATTCCAAGGTCAGAGCTCTATCCACTGTTCCACCTACCTGCCCCCAAAACCATTATCTCTTGAGGCAGTTCATTCTACCTATAACTAGCTCTAATTATTGGGAAGTTTCCCCTTGTATTAAGCCTGAATTTGACTGCAATTTTCATCCATTACTTCTGATTGTTCCCTCAAGGGTCAAGTAAAACAAGGCTAATTCCTCTTCGAATGACAGTACTTGAGGACAGCTATTTTGTCCTACTTAACTATTTTCTTCTCCAAGCTAAATGTCCCCAGTTCCTTCACATGATGAATCATTGGAAGCAGCTAGGTGTTATAATGCAAAGAGTACTGGACTTGGAGTCAACAATACCTGAGTTTGAATTCTGCTGCAGACATTTACTAGGTATGTGACCCTGGACAAGTCACTGAATTTGCCTGCCTCAGTTTCCTCATCTGTAAAATGGGGATACTAATAGCAACCACTTCCCAGTATTGTTGTGAGGACCAAATGAGATAATAATTATAAAGTACTTAGCACAGTCAGTAAACTCTCTCTCTCTCTCTCTCTCTCTCTGTATGTATGTATATGTATGTATATATATATATATTATATATTGTTATTATTATTATGTGACCCTGAACACATCACTTAATTTGTCTCCCTCAGTTTCCCCATTTGTAAAATTAGGATAATACTTGTACCTAACTCTCAGAGTTCATGTGAGAACAAATGAAGATACTATTTATAAGACACTTTGAAAGCCTTAAAGTGCTATATAAATGATAGCTATCAGCCATCAATCAACAAGCATTTATTAAGTGTCTAGCCTCAGACCCTTGTTAGTTGTGTGACCTTGGGCAAGTCATTTAACTCTGATTGCCTCAGTTTCCTCATCTGTAAAATGAGCTGGGGAAGGAAATGGCAAACCACTCCAGTGTGTTTGTCAAGAAAACTCCCAAAATTGGGTCATAAAGATTTGTACACAACTGAAATGATTCAATGACAACTATGTGTTAAGTACTGTTCTAAGTATTGGGCTTACAAATTTAAAAAGTGAGGCAGTACCTTCCCTTAAGGTCACATTCTACTGATCTTCTTATGTTATAAACTCAAGGCTCTTCACCAATGTGGTGCCCTCTTTTGGATGCTCTTCAGCTTATCAGTGCCCTTCATAAACTATTGTGGTCGAGATTGAACACAATGGCCCAGATGTGGTCTGGCCAGAGCAGAGTAGAGTGAGTCTGTTTTCTCTTTATTTTCCATCATTATTCCTCTCTTTCATCAGCCTAAGATCACATTAGCTTTTTTTTCTTTTGGCTACCACATCGCACAGTTGACTCATTTTGAGTTTTCAGCCTACCCCCAAACCACAGATATTTTTCAGAACTTTATTAATGTGATGCACAGTATTTATTTTGTCTACATTTTTATAATTTTGTCTACAATTATATGAGTGTATGTTTTCTCTTCCAACAAAATGGGAGTTTTTTGATGGCAAGGATTATTTCTTTTTTGTCTTTGAATCCCTAATCTAACACCTAACAGCACCTAAAACACCGAGAATATAGTAAACACTTAATAAATGCTTATTGATTGATTCTCTGATGGGGCGTAAAGAGCCACGTTATATATAGTAGCCATAAGGTTGACAAAAATCATTAGTCATTATATTCATATTTGAATGGGTTGAATGGGACAATATTATATAATGTATCTGTAGGATTGACAGGGGCCTTGTTCTACCCAGTGTCTGTGAGATGTTCAGGAATGATTTCCCATCAAGTGTTATCTGTCTTTTGATCTGGCTACATCTCTGTGCTATCTGTGGTGCCTCAGAATTGGCTATGGGACATGAACTTCCCTTTATCTCTAACTGAAACATTGGGTGTTCACTCAAGCTCTGTACACTGAGAGGGAGGATGGGCCCTTGTCACCTATACTGGTGGTAATATCTGTTGGATATATAAGGTCCTGCCTGATGGGTATATAGGGTCAAGTGTTTAGAAGTCACTCAGGGCCCTGTTACCCTGTATGCATTTATATGTAGATGAGACTGTGTCATTTTCTGCGTCTGGTCCTCACTGGGGAGGGAGCAGGCAGATTGGGTAAGCAGGGTTGACGTTCAAGTGTGGGCTAGCCTAAGGAGTGAGTACAACCATGCACAACCTGGTATTTAAAACCCTAGGTGGTTCTTTCTCTGGCCAATGATGCGTTCAATTGCTCCTGCTGCTTGGACTCTCAGTAAACTCTCAGCTTCCCTGGCTTCCCTAGTCTAAGGTCTTCATTATACTTGCTAATGGCCTTGGGATTTTGAACTCATAATACTTAGCATTTACATAACTTTTAAAGGTATTGCAAAGCATTTTACATAGGTTATCTCTTGTGATCCTCTGTTCCTGCATTTCCACCTTTGCTTAGTATCTTGGACCATGCTTGAGTTGCTGAGCCTGAGTTACATAAGCAATTCCCTTTCACCTGTCTGGAGGAAAGTTACAAAGCTTCTCTCGGACGATGTCTCCTGTTCTCAAATTTTCTTGTACTTTCTTATTTGATTCCCTGGTAGAATTTAATCATAGACCTCATATTTTTGGCTTTGCTCCCCTATATTCAACACAGTTCCTCCTTGCACATAATAGGTGGCTAAAACATGTCTGATAAGTTGGATTAAGTATTAGGTGGTAGATACCCAGCTATAACAAATAGTGTGTGTGTGGTTACATGTGTCTTTCATACATGATACCTTTTGGACAGTTAGACATGTAAATAGCTAGTGAATGCTACCTATCCAAGTGTATATAATTCATTCATTTAGTCATTGTTCCAACAGGTGTTGGTATACAAGGCCTTGTACTAGGTTATATGGGGGGGGTGGCACATGGCTGAATAAGCCACAGACATCACCCTAAAGGATTCTGCAGTCTTATAAGGGAGTTGTGAGCCTCATCAAGGACACCAGTATACAGATATACAATGACAAGGTAAATAATGATAAATTCCCCATAAGGAAGAAATGACTAACATGTCATAGGGATTCATAGGAATGATAAATTATTTGTGATTCAGGGAAAAAATAAGGAAAAGGGTGTTTGAGCTGTCTTGAATGAAAGATAGAATTTTGACAGGCAATTGGGGGAGAAAGTCTTAGCTAGGTGGAAGGGATATTTTCAATAATGATACTGGGGCACAAACTTTCAGAGATTGTCTAGACAGCACACCAGTTTAAGTGAAGCATAAGATGGTATAGAGTAGTGGGCCGGGAAGGTGAATTGAGATCGGATCACATAAGGCCTTGAGTGCCAGGATAATCAGTTTGGATATTAGGCAGTAAGGACCATTGAAGATTCTTAAGTAATAACATAATTGGAGTGGTGCTTTCGATGAATACTGTTATAACTGTGTTTAAAATGGATCAGGGAGGGGGTGTAGGTAAGTGGTGGAGTAGATAGAGCTCCAACCTTGGAGTCAGGAGGACCTGAGTTCAAATCCAGCCTCAGACACTTGACACTTACTAGCAGTGTGACCCTGGGCAAGTCACTTACCTCCAATTGCCTCACCAAAAAAAAAACAAAAAAAAACAGAAAAGAAAATGGATCAGGGGAAAGAGGAGAGAGACTGGACATAGGAAGACCACTTAGGAGAGTATTGCAATAATCTAAGCAAGAGGTAGGAAGAGTCTGAAGTGCAGGAATTGCAGGGAGGAAGCAGAATTCGTAGTGGAGAATGGGTAGGAGGAAATTAATATGATAGATGTGAATAATTCTATTGTGGTTGGGTGATAAAGACATACGTTGCCAGATAATTTTAGCATTGAAGAATGACCATTCAAGCAACAGAGAACAGATGTCTCCTTTCTTTCTTCTTCATGGTCCCCATGAAAGGCAGTATTTCACAGGCTGGTTTCAGAGTGAGGAGAATTTGGATTCAAGTGCCACCTCTAACACCTACTGACTCTGTCAGCGACTGACTGGGCAGGTCAGTTAACCTCCTCCCTTTGCCAGAGGTAATTCTCCAAGGTTGTAAGTTGCCAGAAGAGTAGCCTCTCTTGTGGTGGTAGAGGGAGTTTCCTGAATTTCTGAATGTCTCTATTCAAGTGTAGCCTTAGATCCAAACCAAAAGTCAGATAGTTAAAAGCAGCATAGCCCTTCCCCCAGCTTTGGCTTCTATTGACCTTTCTTTCTCTTTAGGAGTCAGCCCTGATGGAGGCTGAAGGTCCTCCTCCTGATGCTTCTACTCCAGCTACTGCTCTGGAAGAACCCCACACCTTTCCAATGTCCCTCATGAAGAACAGCTGCATCCCTGGTTCAGAGCCTGAAGCAGCAGAGACAGAGGACCCTGCCTGGGAGTGGGCTGAGGATGATGATGATGTCTTTGGGGCTCAGCAGAGAGATCTGTGTAATCCAAGCCCAAATGAAGAGATACTACCCACTCTTTGCCAGGAAGATATTCTAGGCTCTTTGGAGCCTAACTATGGAGATGTTGTGACTGCAGAGTCAGGAGTTCAGAGACCTTCAGGGCTAGCATCCCAGGGCCTCCAAGAGGGCCATGCGCCTTCCATCCCTGCAGAGAACTCCATCTGCCCCACCGTGGTTGCTGGCCTGGACAATGACCCCATCCCCAATGAAATAAGTAGCGAGATTGGGGTAGAATCTTGTCCAGAGGTCCCTAACCCTCTGAAGGAAACTGAAAGGTCAGAAGCCAGTGAGAAGGTGGAGAAAGGAGTCTTTCTTCTCTCCTCCACTGAGGCTAAGTCCTGTTCTCCTCCTGAAGAACCCAACAGTCTGATCTCTCATGCAGGAAGAAGAGTTGCCCAGCAAGAGGGGGAGCCCCAGGCCCAAGAGAGGAAGGAAAATGGAGGGCAAGAAGGGCTGGTACATAAGAGACAAGAGGAGGCCAGGGGTCCAGGGAAACATGGAAAGTGGGAACAGAGGGAACTGGAAGACCAGGGGGAGCTAGAGTGGATTGATGGACTCTCAGGAAAACAGGAACTGGAGGTGGTAACATATGTCCAAGGACAAGAAGATAAGGGACAGGTTGAATTGGTTCTGGGAAAACAAGGAGAAGGAGAGATGTTTAATAGGGAAGTAGAAGATCAGAATCACAGGGAAGGGTACCCAAGAGACAAGGATGTGGAGAAGCAGGGTCATGGGAAAGTAGGAGAAGAGAAAAACCAAGGAAATGGGCTGGTAGAGGATCAGGGAAAGGCAGATCATTATGATAAGGACCAAGAGTTAGGTGAGAAACAGGAGAAGATAGTGGGTGAGGGGAAGGAAAAACAGGGAGCTGTAGAGGAGCAGTGGAAGCTAGAGGGAGGTAAGGAAGAACAGGAGAACGTGGCTGGAGAAACACTGGAGGTAGAGAGAATGGCAAGGAGAAATGAGAATGAGGGGATTCAGAAGTATTGTGGTTCCTTGCCATTGACCCAGATTGTCCCAGGTGCCAATATTTCATGGAGCTCTTTCCCAGGAGATCCTGTTTCCACTGTCATAAGACCTGAGACTCAGGAAGGGATAAACACTGAGTCTTCTAGAGTTGAGCTCTCCATGCACTCTTCCTGCCCAGACTCTACTCTGAAGCCTGGACAGGAGTCATCAGGATGTCTCCAGTTCATCCCTCCTCACAGTGTCTCTGGAAAGAATTCTGAGAAAGAAGCAGAGCAAAATGGCTGGGAGGAAGAGTATGGTCTAGGAGACAGAGCAATGCCTATCTTGGGGAAGAAACCAGCACCTCCAAGGCCAATCGCTATAGCTCCTCGGACAGAGGCCTCGAGTTCTACCAAGGCAGATCCCAACACAACCACCTCATCATCTTCCTGCCCCCCTACCTTCTTTCCTATGGGAGATTCTTCACTCCCATCACATCTGCCAGAGTTCTCTAGATCCTTTTCCTTTGACAAAGAATTCTCTTTTCACCACTGGGACCCTGATGCTGCCTTGAATATTCTCCACATACCCTCTCCTGGAGAGCCTCCCTTGGTACCACATGCCAACTCTGACTGGGCCAGCACCCTAAACCTCTCAGAAGCCTCTGAGGAAACCATCCAGTACCATGGGAGTAGCTCTGCTCCAAGCTCCTATGGGGGAGGGCAGCCTCAGTATCTAGGCCAGACTCCAGCTTCCTTCTATCACTCAGAGTCAGCGCAGAGACTCTCTGAGCCTGCAATCCACCATGTTGAGATCCCAGGAAGGGAGGAGCAGGCTAGGCTGGAGCCCTCTTCTGACCCTTCCTCCTTGAGCCAACTTCAAGAATTCACCCCATATTTAGAGATGGTTGGTGCCACTGATAGCCAAACTTGGTGTCCACCAAAAAAGGAAGCCTCTGTCTCAGGGGGACTTACCCATGGCTCTCCTCCTTCCTCATCCATGGTGGAAATGGGATTACATGAACTGCTACCCCCCATCCCACTCCGGGAGCGGCACAGTCATCCTCCCCTGGCAGCACGACATAGCAGTCACCATGCCAAGCCCCCTGCCCAAAAACGGTATAGCCACCCTCCCACATTGGCCTTAGCTTCAGTACTACCTGGCTCCCCTGAAAGACCTTCTCTCCCTGTTAAGGCAAGACAGAATAGACCTCTGCCTTCTACCCCAGTCACAGACACTTCCCACCATACTCAGACTCCTAGACTGAGGTACAATAAGCCGCTACCTCCCACCCCAATCACACCCCCACCCTACCACCCTCCCACATCTGCCACCCTAAGTAAGAAAAACAAACCTCTTCCTCCTCTTCCCATTTCGGATCCTGATACCAAGCCACCTCCACTGCCCCCAAAGGCTAAATGGAGAAGCAACAGTACTCACAGGACAATTGTGAATGTAGGAGATCAGTTGAGGTCAAAACCTGGCTCCTCCAGGGTACCTGGAGGGAACTGGGAAGTCCCTTCTCCTCTTTCTGCTGGACGTACCTCCTGGCCTCCAGCTGTGGACAGGCCAACAGACAGTTTGAACTTTCCTGGCAGGTATAAAAATGAGATGTCTTCTCCTCTGGCTTTCAGTAACATGACCAACTTCCTTCTGCTGAGTCCTTCTTCCCCAGCTCCTTCCATGACTCAGAACCCACAGCATTCTGTCCTGGGAGGAGTCCAGGCTGAACATGGACAATCAGAAGGGACTGTGAGGACTTTGAGCAGAGGAACTCTTCAAGGGAATGGCAATGGGCCCCGGAGATCAGATAGAGGCATGGTGCAGCAGTCAGGGAAACCCAGCCACCCGCCTTTGGAGAAAGCATCCAGCTGGCCCCACAGGAAAGATCCCGGGAAACTCTTGGAAGTGAGTGGTGGGCACTCAGAGAGTCCTGCTGAGGGGCAGAACAAGACCAAGGGATGGAACCGGCAAGGCCTTCGCAGACCATCTGTCTTCCCTGGGGAAACCCTAGGTGAGTAATGCAAACACCATCATCCTATACATTACATCAGTCACAGGAAATGGATTGAAAGGGGGGTGAGCTGTTTGAAGAAAGAATTGCAGGTCCTATTGAGACGACCTTCCCTGCAACAGCTTGCTGTCTTCATCTCTTCCTCGTATGCCTTTTCCCTCATAGCCCCATGTGCTTTCCCACATGGTTTCTTGTTCTCACATCCCATCCCCCCTGGCTTTATGTCTCCCTCTTTCTTTTTTAAAATATCATCCTCAATACCGTTTCTCTACTCTCACCTGATCTTTAGCTTCTTCCTTTCCCAGCTCCCAACCCACAAATTTGTGCCAATAAAGTGTTAATAGCTAACATTTGTAAAGCACTTACTATGTGCCAGGCAATATGCTAAGTGCTTTACATTATCTCATATATCAACCCTGGGAGGTAGGTGCTATATTACAGATGGAGGCAAATAGTGGTTAAGTGACTTGCTCAAGGTCACACAGGTAGGAAGTATCTGAGGTTGGATTATATCTCAAGTCTCCTAGACACTAGGCTGAGCATCTTATCCACCATACCACCTAGCTTGTCCCCTCTCACCCTACCAGCCCCTCTCTCAAAGGGAGCTCCCCGGACTCTCTTCCTAGTCTTGAATTGATGTAATTTTTACACCTTCAATCTTCCTAAAGCATACTACCGATTCTCACCTTCTCTGGTTCTGGCTCAACTGAACCAGAAATTCCTTCTTCACTTTTCATCCAATTTTCCACTCTGCTTCTTCACCAAGTTCTCATGTTAACATAAGCCCAATCCTCCCCTCAACTCCATTCTTTTTTTCCCCTATATAATCCCCAGAGAACAAAGAATATAAACACTCCAGTGGTGTTTGGGTGATTGGAATACCTTAGGGACTTCATCTGGGCCAGCTGTGTACCACATTCCATTTTAGGATTGTCTTATCAGCACAATCTTCACATAGATACCATCCCCTGTGGTCCTTATACTTGTGTGATTTTGACCAATAACATATCCAACGTACAGAGCACTTCAGTATTTCCTTAACCTCACAGTAATGTTTCTACTTCTCTGTCCCCTCTTCCTCTCTTTTCCTCTCTCATGTGCTTCTTAATAATTCTACCCTCATCCTAGTTCAAATCTCTTTCCTTTTCCATATCCCTCTTCGTTTTCTTCTTCATTCCTTCAGACATAAACATGTAGCTCCTCTCTGCCTCTTTTCTTAATCCACAGGATTCTATGTTGTCCCTTGAAGAGGAATTTTTTTTAAAGTGGATTTCCCATCATTATTTATCTTTGAACAGATCTGGATTACTGCTTGTTGAGAATCAAAGAATCTCCGAGTTAGAATAGACCTTAGAAGTCACCTAATTCAACCTATAGCTAAATAGGAATCCCCAAAGAGGTGTGTGTGTGTGTGTGGAGACAGAGGGAGAGAGAGGGGTAGGGTGGGAAACTAGTAATCTCCTAGCTCAATTCAGCACTGAGCAAGAATACCCTTTCAAATATCCCTAAAGAGTGGGCATTCAGTCACCACTTGAAGACCTCCAAGAACAGTAAACTCACTACTTTAAAATGTTCCTGTTCCATTTTTATAGAATTCTAATTGTCAGGTTTTCCTTGTGTTAAAGTGAAATCTGCCTCTCCAGAGCTTCTAATCACTGGTCCTACTATAACCCACTGAAACCAAAACAAACCAAGTTTAATGCCATTTCCATGTGAAACCCTCTGAACACAGCTGTCCTATCCTCTTCTACCTTTCTTTCATCTTACTATCCCCAGTTCCTTCCACTGAGCCTTTTTTGTACGGTTCTTATACTTCTCACCTTTGTGGTCCCCCTCCTCTGGATATGTGTCAGCTTGTCAGTTTCCTTCTCAATACAAGTTTTCTCAGAAATAAACTCAATACTTCAGAAGAGGTTTGATCAGGACAAAGAGCTACAGGGCTCTCATTGCTTCCTCTGCTTTGTCATGGGTTTAATAATGCATGCTTTGCTTGCTTGAGGTTTTTTAGGTGACCAGAGGGTCAGGGTCCTACCACTCTCCTTCTGCAGTACCTCTCTCCCTTCATACTGCTCTCTTCTGAAATTGTCCCCCCAGAGTCCCTGTAACCTAAGTAATTTTCCCATTTCTATTTCCAGATAGGGAAGGTCCCCCCATGGAAAAACCTCCCTGTCCCTCAGACACAATTGTTCTTCGGTGAGTTCTTTGCAAGGAATCCTTCCCTCCCCCAAACATACACATCTATGCATCCTCTTTCCTCAGGGTACTAAAGCCTCCTTCAGAATCTCAGTTTATGGATAACTAGGGTCCAAAACCTGAAAAAAATCCATCCTTCTGAGCCCTCAAAATTCTCAGTGTCCCTATATACCCAAGGTTGGGGGGAAGGGGTAAATTATTGACATCAGGATTCTAAAGGAAACATTTAAGTGGAGGATACTCCTTGGACTTACAGGTAGGTCTACCTGACCCTTCTTTCCCCTAAGTCCTATTCCTATGAACCGTCTCTCTGAAAAATATCCTTTTGGATTTATAGGGGCTTCAGAAATATCCTAAAGAAACCCAGATCTCATTTTGGCATTTCTCTACAGCATTTGTATGGCACCTGGGGGAGGGCATAAGAGATAGTCAAATATCCTAGCTACTCAGTGCATGTCTCTTCCCAACGATATCAGCCATCCATTGACCATCTCTACTTCACAGAGAGAAGAAACCAAGGGATGTGATGGGTACTGTTGCCAGGCGCTGCTCAAAGTTCATCAATTCTTGTGAGTACTTTGGGACAAAGCAGTGAATCTGGGCTGAAATGAGTATCAGTGGGAGTCAGAGTTGAGAACCAATTCAGGACCAGTTTAACAGGTTAATTCTAAATTTGTTTTTTTTTCTTTTTAACCATATCCATTGTCTTCTCTTGTTCCTTTCCATCCTCCCTTTCTATAGCCCACCTGCTTTATCAGGAATATAGTGATGTGGCTCTAAACAAGGAGATACAAAGCCAGCAGAGGCTGGACAGCCTGGTTGAAGGGTCCAGCCCAGCTTCTCCCCGACAGCCCCGAAAATCTTCACTTACCCCAGACTCTTATCTTCAGCGCCTCTCCATTGCTTCCAGTGCCTCTTTATGGCAAGACATCCCCCGAGTACGCAATAGCACCATGTTGCTCTCTATGACTCATGAGAACCAAAAACTGCAGGAGGTAAGAGAGGGATGGGCCAGGGGACAGGGGCTTTGGAGATAGAGATTGGTATCATCTGCCCCACCCTCCACTCTCTGCCCACTTAAGCAGGATCCCCAGTCATTAGCTCATGGAGAAATCTCTCTGAAGAATTTTAGGTTATATTCAAGCCATTACCATCTTCCCTTTTCCTCTCTTCTTATATATGCCAATTCATGATCAATCAACCAAAAAGGAAATGTTTATGAAGCACTTACTATATGCCAGGGACTGTGCTAAGCACTGCAGATACAAACAAATGCAAATAGAGACCTTGCCCTCAAGAAGCTCATATCTGGATGAGGGAGATGCCATATAAATGAATGAGTGAGTAAATAAATTAATGTGTGTCTGTGTGTGTACATATGTGTATATATATATATATATATATATATAAATTTATATGTATGTGTGTGTGTGCAAATAGCTGGAAAGTAACCTTGAGAGAAAGTTCTAGCAGCTGAGAGGAGTGAATGCCACCCTGCAGAAGATGGCATTTAAACTGCAGAAGACAGAGATTTTAAGAGGCTGAGTTTGATCTTGGTTTCTGAATTTGTATCAGAGTGGTCACGGAATTGAATCCTTTTTCCTGTCTCTATTCCAAATTGCTACTTCCATGTGGACTAAAGATCTTATGAATTCAATTCGATAAGTATTTATCAAATAGTGCACTAGGCTAATTGTTGGCCAATTAAGTCACATTGTGGTCAGTGCATCCTTGCATGGGGCAGAGATAACTAGGTGGCTCAGTAGGTAGAGCACTGGGCCTGGAGTCAGAAAGACCTGAGTTCAAATCCAGTCTCAGATACGTACTAGTTGTGTGACCCTGGACAAGTCACTTTACCCTCTATCTTCCTCAGCTTCCTCAACTGTAACCTAGGGATAATAATAGCAGGAGCAATGAGAACAATAAAAATACCTCTCAGGGTAGTTGTGAGGATTAACTGACATAATATGTATAAAGCACATAGAACAGTACCTGGCATACTGTAGGTATTTAATAAATAACTTATTTCCTTCCTTCCTTGTGTCTATGGGGGTGATGCCTGCCCCTGGGATAGGTACATATAATGTCATTGAGATCTTGAGAAATAAGTGCCCTTTTTCTGGAGAAGATTTTCCTCTAGGTGCTCTGGGTTTTTACCTTGACTATATGAGGGGCTTTTTAATTGTTTTCAGGTTATCTTCATTTCTGTGGTATTGGGATCATATAGAAGGCTATTAAACCTCTCAGACTTGTACTTGTTTGAAATCAATCTTAGAGGAAGGAAGTAGACTAAGGGTAGGGGCAAAGGGACTTTTGTCAAATTCTATTGGAGTGGTAGAGGCCTCTTCCTTTTCCAGCTCCATCTTCTCTCCTCTCAGTTGATGGTTTTCCTCCAGCTGCCTTCCATTCTTCTTAGTCCCCTCCCATCTTTCCCCAGGCTAAATTTGAACTTATCATGTCAGAAGCTTCTTACCTGCGAAGTCTTCATGTAGCTGTAGACCATTTCCAGCTCTCATCACAGCTCCGGGCTACACTGTCTAACCAGGAACACCAGTGGCTCTTCTCTCGTCTACAAGATGTGCGGGATGTCAGCACCATGTGAGATTTCCCTCCTCCTTCCATTGTTTCCTCTACGTTGATGATTTACAAAATTAATATCCTTCCCCGTTAGCAAGACTTTCCCTGTCCTGGCCATAGTAAGAATTTGAAGTTTCAATAAAGAGATCACATTTATATAGCGCTTTAAGGTTTACAGAGGAAGCATAATTATTATTATCCATATTTTACAGATGAGGAAACTGAATTAAATGACTTGATCAGGGTCATACTGCTAGTAAGTGTTAGAGCTAGCATTTGAACCCAGATGTCTTTTCCCATTATACTATATATTATACAATCATACCATACTGAAAGATCAGGATGTCTCCAGAGATAGGGAGAGAGGAGAGCAGATGTATAAAGCAAATTAAATACTGGGTTGACCTCCAGGAGATCTGAGGGACTCCCAAGAGATGAAATTAAGCATTTGGAAGAGGGAAATCAGTAGCTTAAGGAATAGCAGGGGTGGGGGAAGTACTCTTGACTACTCTGTTCAGACCCAGATTTCTCACAACATCTGGTGGGGGGACCACAGGTTTCTCTCGGACCTAGAAGAGAATTTCGAGCATGACATCTTTACCTTCCATGTTTGTGATGTCGTCCTGACCCACGCACCTGCTTTCCGGCGTGTCTACCTACCTTACGTCACCAACCAGACTTATCAGGAGCGCACTTTCCAAAGTCTGCTGTAAGACCACTTTCTCTGCCTCATCTTGGCATAATTTCTCCTCACAACCCTGTTGAACCTCCCAATCTCCAAATTATACCTACTTGCAAGTAGCACACCTTATGCTTACTGTGAGATCCTGAGCTTCCAGAAGTTTCTAGGACCTCCAAAATACGCATGTCAGTGCCCCTCCATTCCTTCCACATCATACCTCAGTTCCTCCAGGCAGAGTCCATATCATCCCTGTGGTCCTCATTCCTTTGAATATACCCTGTCTGTTTCTTCTACCTAAATTTCTGTGTTAATGACAGGAACAGCAACAGCAATTTCCGGGAGGTCCTGGAAAAGCTAGAAAGTGACCCTATCTGCCAGCGCCTTTCCCTGAAGTCCTTTCTGATACTGCCCTTCCAGCGTATCACCCGCCTCAAACTGCTGCTCCAGGTAATTTGGATCCCCCCCACCCCCGACCCTGCTTCCAGACCCTCTAAACCTGAAGATCTAACTGCAGGTATTTAGTCTCCTTATTGAGCCTCTTTCAGTGTAGCAGTCACTTATCTCAAACCACTCCAGACTCTGAGAGTGATGTGAATCATCTCACTTTTGCCTATAGTCATATTTGTGCCCCACTTTATATTCTCCCAGTTCCTGACTCTCTTCCTAGTCTGTCTTCCCTAGTTTCCTTGCCATTTTATCTGTCTTTCCTCCACACCTCTGTTTTGAACTATGGGTTCCTTTGCCACAGAATATTCTTAAGAGGACACAGCCTGGCTCCCCAGAAGAAGCAGAGGCCACAGAAGCACACCATGCCTTGGAAGAGGTGAGTAGTCCCTAAATTTGCATCCTACTTTTTTCCACTAATCTCATGGTCTTGATGGCTACTGAAGAGTGGGAAGCTAACAGCCCTTAAGTCCAATCTGTCCCATGGCTTATAAAGAAAAATGGCCATTCAGTCTGTCCACTTGCATCCCTTCTTTCCCCATAGAGAACTCCTTCCCAGTCCAGTGCTATGAATCCAAGGCTACAGGGATGAGTGTTCTTTTAAAACACCATCCAAGGACAGCTAGGTGGCACAGTGGATAGAGCTCTAGCTTTGAAGTCAGGAGGACCTGAATTCAATTCCGGCCTCAGACACACAACACACAACACAAACTAGCTGTGTGACCCTGGGCAAGTCACTTAATCCCAATTGCCTAGCAAAAAAAGCAAAAAACAAAAACATAGTCCAGTTCTCTCTGCCCTGCATCACCATTCTTTTATTCCATGAAGCCTCCTCTCCTCACATAACTGTGTGATAGTCTGTGTCTCTGCCTCTGTCTCTCTGTCTCTGTCTCTCTCTCTCTCTCTCTCTCTCTTTCTCTCTTTACCATCCTCAACTTCTCCATTTTCAATAGGCAAGATGGAAAAAAAAAGTCTCTCTGCGAAAGATATGCTGTCTTTCCTCCCGTCATCCTTTCCTGCTATTTTAAAGAATACAGGAACCTGAGGGCTCAATTTCAGCTCTCTAATGAAAAGCAAGGATTTTGAATTTCTCCAGGTTCTGGGACAAAGGATTTTTTTAGCAACAAAGTCAAAGGCCAAAGTCTCTAATACTTGTAATTCTTCCTGTTTCCTCATCTTTTCCCAACATTCTAGCTCATCCGAGACTGTAATAACAATGTCCAGAGCATGCGGCGGACAGAAGAATTGATCTACCTAAGCCAGAAGATTGAGTTCGAGTGCAAAGTGAGTCCCTCCAATCTCTCACACCACCTCCAATTCCCAACCCTGAATCTCTGTCTGGCCTTATAGTTCCCAAATGACCTTCTAAGTACCATTCTGCTGGCCTTTGACCAGGCTTTAACCTGGCCTAACTCTTTAACCCTCATCTTTAACATTTTCATCCTTCCACAACTCTGTATCCAGTCCTCTCATCTTTAGAATCCTGTCTAACCACCATGCTAGAATCCTAAAGTAACTTCTATTCACGAATCCTTACATATCCCACATTCAAACTCAGTTCAGGGCATGCCTCATCCCTTTCATCTCCCTTCTCCCTTGCTTCAGTATCATGCATATAGTATAGTGGCTTGTAGTAAGGAAGACTTGAGTTCAGATCCTGCCTAATATTTACTAGCTGTGTGCCTTTGGACAAGTTACTTAACTTCTGTTAGCCTTAGTTTGCTCATCTATAAAATGAAGATAGTAATAGGATGTACCTCACAGGGTTATGAGAACCAGATGAGACTATATGAAGTGCTTTGCAAACCTTATAGTACTATATAAATGTTAGTTGTTGTTATCATTAACATTATTATTGTTATTATCAAAAGTCTCCTATCTAAAACACTATTTCAGAAATCCACTCCACCCAGACCCCTACACAGAACAGATAATTCTTTGCACCCAAATCCTAACCCCCAGCCCCTAACACTCTTCATCTTCTATATTTGGTTTGTGCTGTTCTCCAGACTTTCCTCCTCAATCCTTAGTTATAGCACAAGATAAACTGGTTTCCCGAACAGTTTCCAATGAATGTCCTTTTGGTAATGAAATTGCTCATTTCTAATCCTTCAATTCCTAGTAATAAGCAGGTCCCTAATTTTTTTTACTCAGGTCTCTAATTTCTCCTTTGGCAAGGGTTAACAGGCTGGCCATATGGTTATATATGATGTATAGTTAAGTTATATGTATAGTTAAGTAAGTTAAGATGAGTATAGTTAAGTTCTTTCTACCTTTCCCCCC